CGACACTCTTACTTATCGAAAGGACTACGATAGATCCCCTGCACTTGTGAGTCATCACGAGGCAACACCAAGGGTGCAGGGCGTGCCCTAGGGAGGGTGCCACCTGCCTTATGGGTCCCTGGAGCTCCCCTAACCCTATTCTTCAACCTATAAATTCTCAAATATTCCCAAACCACCAGAAGTGGCCACAAAAGTACTTTTCCGTCACCGGAAGCCTCTGTTCCCGTGAGATCCCATCTTGGGGCCTTTTCCGGTGATCTGCCAGAGGGGGATTTGATCACGGAGGGCATCTACATCAACCCTATTGCCCTTCCGATGAAGCGTGAGTAGTTTACCACAGACCTACGGGTCCATAGCTAGTAGCTAGATGGCTTCTTCTCTCTCTATCATCTTCAATACCATGTTCTCCTCGATGTTCTTGGAGTTCTATTCGATGTAATATTGTTTTGCGGTGTGTTTGTCGAGATCCGATATATTGTGGATTTATGATCAGATTATCTATGAATATTATTTTAATCTTCTTTGAATTCTTATATGAATGATTTGATATCTTTGTATTTCTCTTCGAATTATCGGTTTGGTTTGGCCAACTAGATTGATTTTTCTTGCAATGGGAGAGGTGCTTAGTTTTGGGTTCAATCTTGTGTGGTTTCACCCAATGACAAAGTAGGGTTAGCAAGACACGTATGGTATTGTTGCCATCAAGGATAAAAAAGATGGGGTTTACATCATATTGTTTGAGTTTATCCCTCTACATCATGTCATCTTACTTAAGGCGTTACTCTGTTCTGTATGAACTTAATACTCTAGATGCATGTTGGATAGCGGTCGATGTGTGGAGTAATAGTAGTAAATGCATAATCGCTTCTGTCTACTTTATAGGAACGTGATGCCTATATGCATAATCATTGCCTTGGATATCGTCATAACTTTGCGCTTTTCTATCAATTGCTCGATAGTAATTTGTTCACCCACTGTATTATTTGCCTTCAAGAGAGAAGCCTCTAGTGAAACCTATGGCCCTCGGGTCTATTTTCCCTTATATATTTTCAGATCTATAAACCAAAAAACCCAAAAACATCTTGCTACAATTTATTTACTTTTATTTTGTTTTATGTTTTAGTTATCTTTTATATCTATCTCTATCAGATCTCACCATTGCAATTGACCGTGAAGGGATTGACAACCCCTTTATCGCGTTGGGTGCAAGTGTTAAATTGTTTGTGTAGGTGCATAGATTGGAGACTTGCTTGTGCCTCCTACTGGATTGATATCTTGGTTCTATAACCGAGGGAAATACTTATCTCTATTTTGCTACATCACCCTTTCCTCTTCAAGGGAAAAAACCAACGCAAGCTCAAGAAGTAGCACTAATTACCTTGGAAGTTTTTGAATGGTGGTCGGGGGCGAACTTGAGGACCTTGATCGTAGCGCTCTCCTGTAGCCCTGATTAGGTCTCCAATTTCCTCCACCTCCTTCACCATTCCACCACCTCCACTCCCAGGACCAATACGACCGGCGATCTCCACACCCAGACCTTGGCTACCTACCGTGGCAACGGAGGATGATGAGCACAACAAATGGGAAACCCTGGAGCACAAGAAGTGGTTAGGTTTAACAACCAGTCTCCGGCCAGGTTGTAATAAAACTTTCCCAACTTTGGGCCCCAAGTTATCTCCATTTACCTGTCCCAATCCCCCACCAATTGGCCCAACCCTGTCCAAAGTACGAATAGAAACAAAAAAGTTCCCCCTAAATTTAAAATCATCACCGGAGTTCCCTTCCCGGCGTGCTAACGACCGTGTTGGGAGTGGCACATTGATCAAGCTACGTACTGATCGACGGCGATCCCTCCCACCACATCCCGTCTGCACCTAGTCAGGCTCTAAACGTACACCCACATCCACTGATTTTCCATCAACAATTTGGTACTAGCGGCCATCATGAACTGAACCGCAATTGATAGGCAAAATACTATCAGTTCTACTACAAGATGTAGCACTTACATATTTGAATTTGGGAATCTCAATCTCCACTAAATTTTGATCACAGCTTTGCCTGACAACACCCTTGTTGCATTCCCCAGTGACCTTCTGCTTCTCTTTGCCTCTCTTTTTCGTGTCTCTCTTAGCACAAGGAGCACACTAGCAAAATTAACCAAATAAGGATACAAAATGGCTTCATTTCCCTCCTAATTGTCTTCATCTTCTTCTTCAATTTGCTCAAGAGCCCAAAATCTACCCCAAGGACGAACATCTTCTAAGTAACCAGGATATCCACCCCTACCTATCTCCCCATGACCTTCAAGATCTAATGTAATCTGCTTGTCCTTTGAGCCAGTCCCATCCCCATCTGCAACATATTGCATACCTTTAGAACCAGTCAGATCTCGGGTGACAAGTAAGGAAGAGGATCTACTGGTTCCGGCAATGGTGGGATGCTTGTAGGGCGCACCCAACGAAACAAATCCACCGCGCCTTCCTCCTCAAGTCGTTGGATCTCCCCTCTTCCCCTCGCCTAGTGCATGAACAACATCATCGGCGAGGCTAGGAACGACAACATCCGCTCTTGCTCCACAGGTGTTCCCTCAAAATAGATCCTCCTCGTAAAATTGTTCATCTCACGATTTGCCTTGATTCTGCAAGTCTGTACATATCTCTCTCTCTTGGATCTGAGCACCGGATCTGGTTCCACCTCCACGACCTCCTTCGCCTCCCTCCACTCTTTCTCGCACTGCGGCCACGAGAAGGAGTCGTTGCAGATCCGCTACACTCTCTCCATCCACCTTCGCTCCCTCGTCGCCAGCAACTCCTCCCGTGGCACCGACTGGATCAAATAAAGCTTCTTCGGGAACGCCTCGTAGATGAAGGGAAGGGGAAATCCCGGCCCTTGCAGTCCCGTAGGCGTGCCACGGCAAGGAGCCGAAAATGCAGATCCACGGTGGAGTTGCGGCATGGGGAGGGCGTCAGAGAGGGAAGGAGTGGCGTGGCGGCGGTGGGTGGTTCCTGGGTCGCGGGAGCGGTCAGTCATCCCCTTGGTCCCTCTTTGCACTTTCAGCTAAGCGCGCATCTCATTTTTCTAAAAATAATTTAATCTACAAAATTCTGAGGAATCTGGCTCTCATGTCTGAATCTTTAATCCTATTCTTACCTCACCGGTCAAAGTCTAATCCTCGTATGGCTGGCGTCGCTCCGCACGAGCGACGTGGGTGGCGAAGCTAAGAGCAACTCCAATGCGGCGACCTAAATGGACACACGTTTTGTCCATTTAGGCCGCCCGAGAGGATATGCATGCCCGCTTTTTCATTTGGGTCGGCTGGTACGCACAATGGATGGCAGACCCAAATTTGCAAGCGACATTAAGAAAAACTCCGTAGGCATGCAACCGAAATAAGCATAATTAAACATAAATGACCGGTCAACTTGCCGGCCAAAGTCCGCTTAAACATTAATAATACTTAAGAAAAAAAATGGCGCTGCTGTCGTCGTCCTCCTTCTCCCGGGGGCCGAAGAGGTCGATGAACGCCGACACCGGCCCAGCCTAGGCGCTCCTAGTTGGGGAAGTCTGGCGCGTATGCATGCATTGCGCTTTGATCCAGTGTCAGGAGCTCGTGCCGCCGGCGAACGTCCTCGGCGTGCGCCCTCGCCGAGCACGGCACCGCCGGAATGGGGATCCTTTGCGGGTCCAGATGCTAGCCGTGCGGCAGGCTGACATCTGGATATTGCAAGGGGCGACGATACTGCTAGTGCCACCATCCTTCGAGGTTAAGCAACTTGTGCGGGCTTCTCTTCCCAGATCTGCTCCCGCTCACGGCCGGCCGGGGTAGTAAACATTTTCAGTTTCTTTTTTTTTTGAAACAGGGCAAAAGGTTTGCCACTTTCATACATTAAGCAGAAGAGAGTTGCCCGATTAATTAACGGAAACCTGGGCGAAAACCGTTACAACACATGCCCTCAACAGGGCACCATCAACACACGCCGACCCCAGGGCCGCGCTCCAGCCGAGCCGCCGGCTCCGTCACCCAAGCAACCCGTAGCCGACACCCTACAACCAAGACCGAAACCGCCGCTCCGGCGTCCACGCCGACCCCGAGGCCGCGCACCAGGCCGCGCACATTTTCAGTTTCTCACATACACGAAAATTAAACTTGAACTTTATGCACAAGATTGCAGAAATCAGTATTGATGGTGACGCGTCATAACAGTAGTTGCCTCTTACCGGACGTGGTGTTTCTCGGGTGAACAGCAAAATTGTACAAACATTGACAAAAATTCTCAGTGCTCACAAAATTTCATCACGAAATAACATTCATGGAGATCATAGAAAAAAACAAAATTGACGCTCCAAAAGTGTTATTTTTAAAAACATTTTGAAGTGCTGATTTTGCTTTTTTACCACGACTTCTATAAATGTCATTTCTTGATGAAATTTTGCAAGCACCGAGAACTTTTGTCAATGTTTGCACACAAAAAGAAAATCAGAATTTTTTAAAACGTTTTGTTTTTGAATTTTACTGTTCGGCTCAGATGAGCTCGCGGGCAGAAGATGACTTTTGCCTCTTACCACAGACAGTATGCCTCAAGATGGAGTTTTTTGCTTAACCGAGTGGAAGGAAGAGTAGAGCAATTCCAGAAAACATCAAAGGAGGCCAATAACCGAGACTGACTTTATTTCGCACAGCTCGAAATATGCTTTGCTGTGGTAGTATAAAGCAGGCCCCAGTCACATTGCCTTCGCTCCCACTTTTCAACGGCGGAAATGGAGCCGAGAGGCAATGAATGGCAGGCCAGGCCCGCATCCACTGTTTTTCCAAAAGCTTCTTCTTCTTTTTCCCTTCCCTCTGTATTTTGCATTAGCATAGCCTACTTTTACCTCCATTATTACTTCGTCCTTCCCTTTTGCTTTCCCGTTCGGACACCTTACTCGCTTGGCTTCTTCTCCTCTCCTCTCCTCTCCTCCCGGTGCGCTCCTTTGTGATTGGTTGCTGCTGCTCGGGATCAATGGGTACTCCTACTCCATACCACCTCCTGTCTCCAAGAACCATCGTCACCAAGATCATCAGCATGAAGCGGCAGGAGCCAGAGCCGCCGCCGCCGCCCAAGATCATCCTGCAGCCACGGCACCGGACCAGCCCCGCGATGTGGTGCGCTGCCATCGTCTGCTTCGCCTTCAGCGTCCTCCTCATCCTCGCCGGCCTGGTGATCCTCGTCGTCTTCCTGACGGTGAAGCCAAGGACGCCGTCCTTCGACGTCGCCCACGCAGCCCTCAACAGCGTCTACATCGGCTCGCCCCCGCCCTACTTCAACGGCGACATGACGCTGACGGCCAACATCTCCAACCCCAACCGCAAGATCGGCGTCGTGATCCAGTCCGGCGCCGTCGAGCTCTTCTTTCGGGGCAGGCTGGTGTCGGCCCAGGCGCTGCCGTCGTTTGCGCAGCGGCGGGGGCAGTTCACAGTCCTCAGCGTCCACATGCTGTCTAGCCAGGTCGTGCTACCGCCGGAGGTGGCCGTGGAGCTGCTGAACCAGATGAAGAGCAACAAGATCCTCTTCACCATCAGAGGGACCTTCAAGGTCCGGGAAAGGTTCTGGTCTTGGCACTACACCTACCGGATGACTGCCATTTGTGACCTGGAGCTCACCGCGCCTCCCTCTGGATTTCTCGTAGATAGGAGATGCACAACATCAACGTGATTGGTACCTGGATGCTCTTTTCATCTTCTTTTGTTGCATCAAATTTTCAAGGATGTATAGCAGTACGAAACTATTTTGGATGTATTTTTTTATGTAAAGTAAAACCCAAGTAAACCATTCACAGCAATCTAAAATTATCACGCGATTCCTCTGTTTATGTCTGAAAACCAAACAAACAAACAAGGGCCTGGGAACATCTACTGGTTACCATATTTAGGTAGGTTAATAACTGAAGAAGAAAATCATTGGACACATTTATCTGTAATAACAGTTAGGGTAGCAAAAACAACCTGTGAAAGCGATGCCTGCCCCTGGTTTCTGAAACCAATTTCCATCACAACTCCTTTTCTTGTGACTATACTAGAAACAGAAACAAAACAAATACTCTGCAAAACTCAAGATTGAATGCATTCCCTTAGCAATTCATTGTACCAGAAATGTAGTTATTATTCATAAGGACCCCTCCAAGATCACATTTACTGTAGTCCTTGTCTAAGCACAACTCATTCCAGCTCTCTGTCTTAGCAGACGAGAAGAATATACTACTCTCATAAGAAAATGGAAGTTACTGAGCCTCAACAAACAATCTCAAGCTTAAGCTACAATACCTTGCACCCTGTAGTGACCAAATAGTAGTAGTTAGCACACTATTTATACATAGGATCGAAGAAACAGCTTCGACCTTCCAGCCTGCCTGATTCATGGCATCCTGAGTGATTTTGCTATTTCAGTTAATTTTTCATCTTTCTGTTAGCACTTTGATATCAGCAGCAACTCTTCATCAGCAGGTTTGTTCTCACAGTATATGTACTGGGTGTGATTTTGCCATTCGGTTTTTCTTTCATCATTCTGTCAGCGAATTTGTATCAGCTGGTTTGTTCCAAGTATGTGTTGGCTGTACTTTTATGGTCTGTAATTCTGTATGCATCGTGGATGGGGGGCTAGCACTTGATTTGTGGATGTATCAGCTTGATATGCTTGCAAAGATTCAGTAAGAGGCCTAGAGGCCTCCATTTCAAAGAAAGAACTGCCTGATTGATCAATATGCCACAAAATGAAGGGCACAGAACATGAATACATAGAAGATTAATCATGGATGCAGAAGCCAGGAGCTAGAACTTCTTCGTTGGGCGTATGTATCAGCTTGATATGTTTGCAAAGATTCAATAGAAGAATTCCATTTCACAAAAGAACTGCCTGATTAATCAGTATGCCACAAAATGGAAGACGCAGAACATGAACTAGATCACAGGTATTTAGGAATATGAAACTTTTATTGATCTCAAGTGTTTTACTCTAAACTTTCTGAAACAGTACAGCACTCACACACGGACCCATCGAAATCGAGTCCTGAAATTGTTGGTCCATCTAAAACAGGAACAGCACTAGAAAATACTACTAGCCCCTTCGTATCTTCCAGCAACAAGAGCAAGAATATCCATCCAAGAACTAGCTGAATTTTGAAGGGGCGCTTGTCACTTGTGACTTTGTGAGAGAGCTCGGTGGGGATCCTAGAACGCACCTCGCAGGCGCAGGCTCGACTCGGCGGCGGACTGCGGCAGCAGGAGGTCGTTGCAGTCGAAGCCACAGCCGCAGGTGGGGCTCTCGAGGAAGTTGTCGAGGCCGAAGTCGGCGGAGGCGATGCCGACGGAGAAGCCGAGCTGGTCGCCGCTGCGGGTGACCTCGACGATGTTGAGCCAGAAGAAGAGGACCTTGACGGTGACGCCCTGGAGGTTGGTGAGGCGGTCGACAGAGATGCGGCCGCTGATGTTGGGCTTGTAGCGGAGCGAGTAGGAGCCCTGGATGGAGAACTCGCAGGTGGAGGAGGAGTTGATGTGCGCCGTGAAGTCGCTGGTGGCGTTGTCGAGGGTGTAGGAGACGACCCCCTTGGGGATGATGCCCGGGGGGAAGTCGAAGGCCGCGAGCGCCTCGTAGGCCGTCGGCTTCGCGGCGGCGGGGCCGGCGACGGCGAGCAGGGGGAGCACAAGGAGGAGGGGAAGCATCGCGGATTTCATTGTTGTTTTTTCTCTTGAGCGGTGGCTTCGGGTTCGGGGTTAGCTTGAGGTCGTTGGGTTTCACAAGAGATCTGGAGATGCGACGGTGTTAAGACAGAGGGTCCACATGCTAGCTAATCTGATGGCGCACCTGCTAACAAGAACGATGACATGGAGGAATTGTGCCGTGCAACGTTTTGTACTTTGCTCGTCTTTAGTTGAGAAAACTTTTGTCTTTTCAATGGTGCGAGAAAACACTTTTCACTTCACTAATTAGTTAATTGCTTGGGTGATTAAGAGGACAGTGTATCCTTAACTTATGGAGTTCAAGTCCTAGAATTAGCATTGGTTCTCCCATTTTATGAGGCCTTTCGGCCGTTTGCGTTTAGTGGGATAACGTTTCCGTCATGTACGAAGGCGTTTGTGGCGACTCGTTAATCTTAAGATGATGTGTCGACTCAGCCTCTGAAAAATGCTCATAAAGGTAAGACTTGTGCGTGCATTTATAAAGATGAGTGTATGTGTATATGTATGAGTGTCTGCATTCGTACCGTGTTTAAAAATTATGTGTGACAAGATAAACTTAGATATTGTGATGATTCAACAACTATACATGACGTAGACCTTTTATGCACATCACATTGTATTGTCATATGGTTGATTTTTTTATAGTTAACTAGTAAGATGGTCGTGTTACGTCACCGGATAAACAATGATCTGGTGGACTTAAAATTATAGCCTATACGCTGCTACAGACTATAAAAAATGTACCGAGACATGAGACATCTATCAAAGCAAAGATATATTATTGATATGGTAGGTACACATTCGTAAATTCGTACATTGGTAGATACAATCGATAAATCCGTCCGTCCAAGCCAAACATTTGCAGAGAAATAAATAAGATTTGTAAACCAGATAATTGGAAAATTTAATCAAAGATAAATTCCACAACACTGAAGGAAAAGTGCAAAAATAACACGGTTGTCATCAAATAGTTGCGAGCCTCCGGCTTTTATAGTGGATTGATTATTGACAAATTTAATTCTATGGAGCCAAAAAGTGATGAGACAGGGAAGTAGAGATTGATAATTGACAAAATTAAATTTGCTATGTATCAGATAATTGACATGTTGAAAAATGGAGGGGGTTGAAAACTTTCCAATACAATGAAGCACTTACAACTACCCAGATGATTGTAGTGTAAAACAGCAGACCTCTAGTTGTAATTGAACTATTTTCCTTATGAGGAATACATAAATAAATTAAACCTTCACAAAAATGGATACCGACAAATGTCAATTTAGCAGTTGAAGTACTACTAATTTTTTAGGGGAGTTAGACTACGACTAATTGATAAGCATACTGTCCAGTTAACAGATGTTATATACTGACTGACAGAGCAGAGCTTGAAAAAACTTGAATAACGTCATGACATTTTAGTCTACACAAATCAAGCAAGCAAAATATGGGAGTATAAGCTATGCATTTATTACCCAGTTAATTATTAACTTGTAAATTAATATAAGGTTTAAAACTCATAGGACATTCATAAGATTTGTCAATATGTCACAATGCTCGCTATTTTGTGCGACAACAAATGCAGATAAATACAACAATAAAAAAAGCATTCATTTTGGCATTTGAAGTTAAACCAATGAAGTATCTCACAGTACTTAATACTCCCTCCATTCCACAATGTAGTGCTTCCTCTATCCCCGTGCTTCAACTTTGACCGCAAATTTAACTACCAAGACCGATTGCGGCGGGAGCAAAAATTATATCAGTGAATTCGTATTCAAAAGAAGTTTTCAATTATATATTTTTTTCTCCCGCCGCAGTTGGTCTCGTTGGTTAAATTTATGGTCAAAGTTGGACCTCGGAAAACGTGGGCGCACTATATTTTGGAATGGAGGGAGTACCACTTTTGCTTTTATAAATCAGGTCCTAGTCTAGTAAATCTGAAAATAACTTGCTATACTGCATGCGAAATATACCATCAGTTTTCTCTCAAAAGAGAAGAAGACACCGTCAGTTTTGTAGTCAAAAAATGGTTGTTGTGTATTAGAATTTCCATTATGAACCCCAAACATGTAGCCTATTTGGAAAGGTCTTGAGGAACCGCACAAGAACCATTCTTTAAGTTAGAAATTATAATAGCAGAATCTACAGATTTACAGTTCCAATAGTTGATCTTGTTCATATTGTAGCCATACGTTGCCTACTACTAAGTATATCTCTTGTCGTGCGCTATAGCAGGTATAGTGTCTAGAACAGATTGAACAAACCTAAAAGATAAATTTTATCATCAAGCGAATTACCTTGACAGAAAGCAAATTAACCAGGTAAAAATAAATATGTGTTGATTTACAAGTTCTTATTCCATAAGGTACCCGTACATCATAAGTAGATTAAATTCCACAAAAAATGTCAAGGGGACTATTTACCATTGAGAGCGAATATAAGAATAATTATAGTTAATTGAATAGATAACAAGTATAAGAGAGACATCACACTAACATCATGTGAGAAACAAGCAGTGGAGATATACCACACTAAAGGGTAGCGAGACATGTATTTGTATCACTGTCATTAAGGGTAAAACGATGGGGTTTATTTATATTGCTTGAGTTTACTTTGTCTACATCATGTCATCATATTTCATGCATTACTCTATTTCTTATGAACTTAATACCTAGAGAGGCAAGCATAGAAGCGCTCCCAAATTGGAGTAATAGTAGTAGATGCAGAATCGTTTTGGTCTAGTTGACACGGACGTGATGCATATATGCATGATCATTGTCATGAATAACATCATAACTATGTGCTTTTCTATTAATTGTCCAACAGTAATTTATTTACCCATCGTATGCTATTGTTCCGAGAGAGTAGCCTCAGTGAAAACTATGGCCCCGGGTTCTACTTAATCATATTGATAAAACTAAAAATACCTTGCTACAATTTATTGACTTTTCTTTTTATCTATCTACCACCACAAGATTTAAATCTTGCAAGTAACGAGTTCAAAGGGATTGACAACCCTCTTGCCCGCGTTGGGTGCAAGTTTTTGCTTTTCTGTGTGCAGGTGTTGTTCACTAGGTTTTGAGTGATTCTCCTATTGGTTCGACAAATCTTGGTTCTCACTGAGGGAAGTACTTATTGCTAATATATTGATTCACCCTTCCTCTTTAGGGAAAATCCCAACGCAGCTAACAAGTAACAGGTGGTAGGAGTCTTCGGTGAGGAATCAACTTGTGATTTACCCCTGTGAAGGTTCGAAGGCTGCCTCAAGGCCTACCGCTAGTGGTTGAGAATCGCATCCGTTATGATATCTCAAGGAGAATAGGGTGATCCTTCTGATGGAAATATGCCCTAGAGGCAATAATAAAGTTGTTATTATTATATTTCCTTATTCATGATAAAGGTTTATTATTCATGCTAGAATTGTATTGACCAGAAACTTAAATGCATGTGTGGATACATAAACAAATACCGTGTCCCTAGCGAGCCTCTACTAGACTAGCTCGTTGGTCAAAAGATGGTTAAGGTTTCCTAACCATAGACCTGTGTTGTCACTTGATAACGGGATCACATCATTAGGAGAATAATGTGATGGACAAGACCCATCCGTTAGCTTAGCATATGATCATTTAGTTTATTGCTACTGCTTTCTTAATATCAAATACATATTCCTTCGACCATGAGATCATGCAACTCCCGGATACCGGAGGAATGCCTTGTGTGTTATCAAATGTCACAACATAACTGGATGATCATAAAGATGCTCTACAAGTATCTCCGAAGGTGTCTGTTGAGTTGGCATGAATCGAGATTGGGATTTGTCACTTCGTGTATCGGAGAGGTATCTCTGAGCCCTCTCGGTAACATACATCATAAGAAGCTTGCAAGCAAAGTGACTAAGGAGTTAGTTATGAGATGATGTATTACGGAACGAGTAAAGAGACTTGCCGGTAATAATATTGAACTAGGTATGAAGATACCAACGATCGAATCTTGGGCAAGTAACATACCGACAGACAAAGGGAATTACGTATGTTGTCATAAAGGTTCAACCGATAAAAGATCTTCGTAGAATATGTAGGAACCAATATGGACATCTAGGTCATGCTATTGGTTATTGACCAGAGAGGTATCTCGGTCATGACTACATAATTCTCGAACCCGTAGAGTCGCACGCTTAACGTTCGTTGACGATATAGTGTTATATGAGGTATATGATTTGGTGAACAATTGTTGTTCAGAGTCCCGGATGAGATCATGGACAAGATGAGGAGCTCTGGAATGGTCCGGAGGTAAAGATTGATATATAAGACAATTATTCGGACACCGAAAGAGTTTCGGAGTGCACCAGGTAGTTATCGGATCACCGGAAGGGGTTCCGGGCACCCCCGAGAATTATATGGGCCATATGGGCCAAAGAGGGGAGCACACCAGCCCACAAGGGGCTGGCGCGCCCCTCCTATGGAGGCCGGCCTAGGGGAGGAAAGGAAAGGGGGATTTGGCCTCCCCCTTCCTTTCTCTCCCCCCTTTTCCTTTCTCCCGGAAGCAAATATGGAAGGGGAGGCAGCCAAGGGAAGGAGCCCAAGTAGGATTCGGTCCTACTTGGGCGCCTCCTGTTTGCTCCCCTCTCCCCCACCTATATATATGTGGGAGGGGAGCACCACACAAACCACGACAATTTCTTAGCCGAGTGCGGTGCCCCTCCTCCACCGTTTACACCCTCGATCATATTTTCGTAGTGTGTATGCGAAGTCGTACGGAGATAGCATCACCGTCACTGTCACCACACCGTCGTGCTGCCAAAACTCATCCACTACCTCGCCGTCTTGCTAGATCAAGAAGGCATGGACATCATCAAGTTGAACGTGTGTTGAACGCGGAGGTGACGTATGTTTGGTACTCGATCGCTTGGATCGCGAAGAAGTTCGACTACATCAACCACGTTACTAAACTAAATGTTGGGGATGTAGCATGCAATTTCAAAAAAATTCCTACGATCA